GGAGGGGGGGGGTAAGAAAAAAGAAGAGGAAAAAGGATCTGATGAAGGACAAGAATTAGAATGAAGAGGAGAATTTGCAAAAATAAGAAGAATAATGGTGGGGAAGAGTAGAAGACAATAGAAATTGACATCCTAAAGATGAATTTTGTAAAATGAAAATTGGAGAAAAAATATGAGAAAAGATCATTCAGAAAATGAATTTAAGAAGAAGAAGAATGGAAAGAAGAAAAGAGGGTATTTCTTAGAAAATGAATTAAGAAGTTGGAGAATGAGCTTTCTCAGAAGATTAATCAAGTTTTTAAAAAAATAACACCCAGTAAGAAAGAGTTGTCTGAGAGGGAGAAAAGAGGAAAAAAGGCTAAAGATAAAGGGGAAGGTGTGGAGGAGGACTGAAAAAAAAAGATTTTTAAAATGTGATCGTGGGGAAAGAGGAAGAAGATGGGTTCAGTTGTTGCATTTAGTTTATCCCTGTCCCTGTGTTATGTTTTTGTTTGACTCTGTTTGTTGACTGTACCAAGCAAAAGTTAGCAACTGTGCCTTGTGTTACCACTACCAGCATATCTACTGGAAATTCTAATCAGTTTTAGAAACACATTTGTTTCTGGCCTGCTTTATTGTATGATGACTGACACTCCCAATACAAGTTCTTTCAGTATAGATTTTTTGTCGGTGGCCTAGTGGTTAGGCTCTCAGACTCTCAACCATAAGGTCATGTGTTTGAATCTCGTCAGGGACCCGGCGTTGTGTCCTTGGCAAAGGCACTTTACACAAATTTTCCTCACTTCACACAGGTGAGAATGGGTACCTAGCTATAGACCGTGAAAGATCTTGTCAGTTTAGTAATGTCTGAGCTGCTTGCACTGTATGCTTCCTGAGAAGCTGAGATGGTTTCTGAGTGTTCTATGGTCTGCTGGGGTAATAATATATTGTAAAGCGCACATAGCTTGCTGTAGAGCAGGGTTATGCACAATACAAATGCAATTTATTATTATTAGATTTTTTTGTTCATGGCAGTCTGTAACAACAGCTGTGTATCGTCATCAGTGTGTACATGGGGGTGTGTGCAAGTGTTTTGGGTTTTCTTTTTAATGTAAGAGTCTATGTTCAAGAATGTATTAGAGAGAGAGAGAGAGAGAGAGAGTTGGATGGGGATGAAGATAGAGGGAAAGGATCACTATTGGAACTGTACTGTACAGCTCTCAAACTGGGCAGGTGGTAATGTACTTTTGCTATAGCATGTTCACTTTCATCTTTCCGCGTTAAAAAAAAGATCTTGCCCATTTATGAATTTACCAACGCTCATGAAACTTCTATAGGCCAGCAACTGAACAAAATTTAATTTTTTTTACTTTGATACAGTTCTTAAAAAGTTTCTCTATTTGGGCCCAGTATTAAAAACCGCCCTTTTGGTCCATACACAGGATAACTAAAATAAAATAATTTACTTTTACCTTTTCTACAACTTGCTCATTTTGAGACAGCAACACCACCCTATCCCTGCATTTCAGTGTAAGCTTGTAAATTTCCTCCCTAGAATGTAGACGTCTTCACTTGAGTCTCGGAAAGTACTTAACTACCTATTGGGCAATGTTTCATAGGCATGTGATAAAGTGTGGTATTGATTAAAATGGGTCAACCTTTTTAGGTATTAGGTATATGCTGGAAATCCCTTATTATTATTTTGACCTGCTTCAGGCTTACATCATAGAAAATGTATCAGAGCCCTAGTGTGTAGAGACCTTCATTGATGGGCTTTTAGATTCTATTGTAACTCCAACTTATAGACCCGCATGCAAATTCCCAAGAAAATTAAACATCGTGATTTGTTTTTAGTGTTTTGACCACGGTCAAATGAAAGTGAACAAGCTTTTGTGGGTTCCACTCAACCCAAGTGTGCTGAGCTCAAAACTCAAAGTGACCTTTAGCCTTTACTGGGTTCTGTTTCCAGATCTGTCCAAGATGCCGGAGAAGAAAAAGGCTGCCCAGACTCCCATCAAGACTAAGCGAGTGGCGGCAAGACTCAATGGCCGTTCATCGGAAACGGAGAACTCTTCAAAGTCCAATGCTGACAGGTGTTGTACTCTAACAGTTTCTTCATTTTTATACGGAATGCACGAAAACAATATGGCTACCCCAGATTACCAAAGTTCTGTCTCATTAACACTTGCCTTTTGAGATATTTGAGTTGGAAGTTTTCACACATTATATCTCCTTCTACTGAGGAAACAAATTGACATGGTTTTATCTCAGAAAAAAAGAAGAAATGGGAGTTTTAACTTTTACATATTGTGATGTACAGGGAAGTATAGAGGGAGGCCCCAGATACTCTCAGGACTATCCATCTTTACAAATTGGCAGTCATTGCAACTTTTTTTTCTTCAATTTTATGTAAATCAGATTGAAATACCCTTGATTTCAATTTCTAAAATGTATTTTCCATTCTTCTACCACAACCCATTCCCCCCTGCCTAGTTTATAAAGAAGAAAAACAATCAAGCCCCAACAGTCTACATCACTACATCATTAGCAGGCGTCGCACCCTCTGTGCACTCCTGGTAGTCGTGTACCCTTTGAGAAACATTGATTAAATGTTGTGTGTGAGTTTGTATTTTTGGGAGCAGTGGGGTAATTTGGGGGGGGGGGGGGGGTCGCTGATACAATATGTTAGTCTTCTCTGAAGTAAAAGACGTAGGCTGATACAGAGTACTCCTGTAACTGCTGAAGATAGTTTTATTGACCTTTCCAATCAGTTGTTGGCCTGAAAGAACTTGAGATTTTGTTGTGAAAAATAAATATTTATCTCTTAGGCTTCAGGCATTGAGCTTAACAAACCTCTTAAGAAAAACTAAGAAACAGGTTAATTGTGAGCTCTGTTGATGTCATACTTGAATCTGATTAGGATGGCCCTGGTCGAGTTCTCATCCAGAACACTCGAGAAGTTCTGTTGTGAAAGGAGTTTTTATGGCTCTGCATCAATCCAACCCTCCCCACCCCCACTCCGCCCTGTTGCATGTTTAGACTTTTCAAAAGTGGTCATCTTTGCAGGGTCAAACCTTAGAATAGTAAATTTATATCATTTTGTTAGAAACAGTACTATTCACAATTGGAAAGATAACTAACCATAACTTCTTTTAACACCCCCCGCACAGTTTTGAGTCGAAGCCTCCTCTACCACCATGCCACAAGTCGGACGACAAACCAGTCCTGTCGTCTGCATCCAGGTCTGTGGAGCGTTCCTCCTCGAGCAGCACTCGGCCCAAACTGTCACCAAAGTCCTCCAAGTCAGAGCCCCACATTTCCCCGCGAGGCTCCTCCTCACCACATCGCAGTGCTGCCAACACCAGTAGCACAGGGGGAGACAGCAGGCCTGCCGATCCTCAGGAGAAAAATTCCATTGTGGATAAGATTAAGACCATGGGGCAAAGGTGAATACCGCTTTTGTTGGGAGGTACCATATATCATCACGTATAGGGTGCATGTGCTGATAAGACTCAGGCAGACTTAAAAGGCTTTTTAGAAGTGCTTAAGTTCCTTTACGCTCTGTTTAAAATACTCTGTATATCCACAATACAGCTGAGAGACGCTCTTTGGGGTAAATATTTAAGGGAAACTTATGCATGAGCCACCTCATTTTGAGTGACCATAGTATTAACTGTAGCACTGGCATATATTGACAACTTAACTCTTTGAACCCCATTGGAAGTGGCGGTAATAGCCCTGTTGCCCATCGGACGCTGGGAGCGACCAGTACAAGTGACATGTGTTTCGTTTTATTTAGTGCTAGTTTTTGCTTGTTTTTCAGAACTATTCTTGAACCAAGTTTTTTAGTAATGACTAAGCCTTTGTTTCCGCTATTTAGAAGTTGTAGGCAAGCTTTTGGGGTTATAATGAGACATAGTGCATCAGGTTTAGGTGACTGTAGAAAAAAACTCTGGGAAACAGTAGAAAAAACTCAGGGCTTTAAGAGTTGACCCCCCCCAACCACCAATGAAGGGATGGTAAACACATAGTTCCAAGGCTAAAAACTTACACAAGCAGGACGTAACTTGACGAATTTTTTCTATTTACATAGCTCTAAGTACAATTTCTATAGTACTTTCATATTTTTAGCACGGATAATACTGATCATGAATATGCATCACATATGTTTCAGTGAGAACAAGAAGAAGAAGGACATTCCGCGATGGCTGAAGAAAGATGGAGCGACAGGTATTGATCTGTGTTCTTTGTTTTGCTTTGTTTAGATCGTAGACTTGAATTGTAATGTCCTGGATGAAGCACAGTCATGGCTGCTCCTTTTTGCTTTCTCTAAAAAAACTTTACTGCGCTGGGAAACACCATGGGCGGGCAAGTGAAGGGCAAAACACCAGTCTCACTGTAGTGTAGTTAGCGCATCTTTCCCTCTTTAACTTTCATATACCCCCCAGGGCGGTGCCACTGACTGAAGTGTCTTTAGGCCATTCCCAAAGGGGGGATATTTCTCGTTCGTACACAGTAGAATTGTAACTGGGCTGATTCATTAATGTCACGCTCACAACTGTGCCTGATCTACAACAGGGAACTGCTGCTTTTTCTTTCCTAATTGTTCCTGTTGTCATTTTCCTCTACTTCTTTTGTATGTTTGTCACTCTCTTGTGACCCGCTATATCCTGGGTGATTTCATAGTCAAAGCAAACTTTATGCTGTTGAAGCTAGAGAGGTGAGCAGAGTAAGTCTGATTCCCTGTAAGAACTTCTCTGTTGACATCCACCCCTTGGCGCTCATATGACCTAATACAGTTGCGAGCGCCTGTACTAAAAAAAAGCAAAAAACGTTCATATGTTTCCAAATAATAGAGTCAATGGTTCGCTTGATGGTGAACTGGGATTATTTCAGAATGCGTTGTCTTGGATATTATAATGCTACCCCATGATTTAGATATAATTTTTAAAATTTAGTTTTGAGTCTGTTAAAGAACTGTGTGACAGACGCTTTGCTCGCTGTATCAGACTTTTACAGAAATGGATAAGAAATGGGGAGGAGTGTCATTGGGTTGTGACACAATTAGTTACAATTTGGCTAAGATACAGAAGTTTGTGGGTGGTTGGTGTCCATGTGAGGATCAATATATTCTTATCCTTTCTGGACGTTAATTCATCTGGAGGACATGTTGTTCTGATGAGGGTCGAGTGTGCCACTTTCAAATCAACTTTACATTCACTCAATTTGGGTGTTGCGCATTTTAAATGAGGTACCAGCAGAACTGCATTTACTTAATATTTCAATGTATGGAACTTTGACCTCTGATGAAAAAAAAGATCAGAGATTTAATTCGGTGAATTCATAGTCATTATTCATTGTTCTTATCTTTGGACTTCTTCTGTTGTGCTCTGGGTCAGGGTTCCAAAAACCAAAAAATGATTTTGTTTTCACTGAATAATTCTTTGAAAGACAATTACCACCACCACCGCAACCACCACGACCCCTCCTCTTTAAACCCTTTTCCCACAATCCTGTGGATGGACAACTTCACTGGATGTTTTTTTCCCCACTTCAGGTGAAGATGGAGAGGCCAGAGGAGATAAAACAGGCCTCAATAATCCTGATGAGACAGATCTGCAGAAACAGCTGGATGAGGAATTTGAGAGATTCTCTTCTGCTGGGTGAGTGTCGGTCTGTCTGTGTCTGTCTGTCTTTGCATTTATCTTTCTCCCCCCCCCCCCTCTCTTTTTCTCTCTCTCTAACCCCCCGGGGCGGTGCTACTGACTGAAGTGTCTTTAGGCCATTCCCAAAGGGGGGATATTAACCTGTTCTTATGCACAGTAGAATTATAAATGGGCTGATTCATTGATGTCATGCTCATAACTGTGCCTGAACTGCAACAGGGAAGTGCTGCTTTTTCTTTCCTTATCCTTACTATCGCCATTTTTCCTCTACTTCTTTTGTATGTTTGTCACACTCTTGTGACCCGCTATTTCCGGGATGCCTTGGTAGTCAAAGCAGACTTTGTACTGTTGAAGCTAGAGAGGTGAGCAGAGTAAGTCTGATTCCGTGTAAGGACTTCTCTGTTGACATCCACCCTTTAGCGCTCATATGACCTTATGCAGTTGCGAGCACCGTAAAACCTGTACTAAAACTAAATATCTCTCTCTCTCTTTCTCTCTCTCTCTCTCTCTCTCTCTCTCTCTCTCTCTCTCTCTCTCTCTCTCCCCCTCTCCCCCACCCTCCCTCCCTTCCTCTGGGGGATAGGGTAATTTGTGATTTGTGCCAAAGTTTCTTTCAATTGGTCAGAAACTGTCTCTTGACTAGGTTCTTGTCATTGTGATAATATGGTATAATGGGTTTTTTGTAAGCCGTGCCACTTTTTTTCTGCTTTCTATATATTATGTATTGTTACTTCATGGGTTTTTAAAAAATCTCTCTTTCTTTCTCAGAACTGAGGATCAAAACAAAGGCGATGGGGCTCCAGGCGGTAAGTAATGGGTCTATTGACTAGCATACATCTACCGCAGATTAATTTTCTGGCATGCATTGTATGTGTCCATTGGCTTGTGCTCAAGTCTTAACTCAAGGGAAGAAATGAGCCGGGGTCATTTGGACAGGAGATTGTCTTGAACAAGTTCTACTGTATTTTAATTTGTTATGATGTGATTGCTATGATACAAATATTTTAATTAGAAGTGTATGAAGTCTGCTTCACTTTTCTTCAACTCTATCGAAACGAAACTTTCTACCGTTCCTTGTTCAGAGGAGGAGGACACCATCACTCCCATGAAGAAGATTGAAAAGTCCCGGGCCAAGTGGCGTCGGAAAGAGGAGGACCTGGAGGAGTCCTGGGGGTCTTTGTCCTTCTTCAACAAGTCTCAGCGAGGACGCCTCTCAATAGACATGGGTGGTCAGTATTGTGTTTATGGAGGAATGGGGCTGTATGTTGGTGCCTAGTTTGTTTTGTTTGGGGTTTTTTGGCGTGTTTTCCGGGGGATAGTGGGTGGGGGGGTGAAGGTCAGTGGTGGTGGTTGGGGGAGGGGGGGGGATGAAGTTCGGTGATGGTGCTGGGGGGATGAAGGTCATGCAGTGCAGGGTAAGTATGAGGTAAGAGGAGAATGCCACCAATAACTAGTGACTTTAAGGATAACAAAAAACAAAGCTGTTGAGCAAGCTGTTTGATCTGTCTTTTTTTAAACCTGCGTCAACCTTTTTTGATAATACAATTGTTTCTAGCTCTTTCATTCTGTTTTCAATGGCATCAGGGAAGAGAAACTGTTTCATTCTTGGGGACTCCTCTTAAGAATATTTTCATGTCTGCGTGGGGAAAATACCACAAGACGCATTTGCTTGAACTAAATAACAGGGCTATAAAGGTGAAATATCGATTTTCTTACAAAAATTGAGTTCCAGTACAATGTTATTCTTTAGCCATTTATCTACCAATATTTACAAGGAATTTTGTTTATTTTACACGAAAATGTATTTTGAACTCATTCGGGACTCATTGCACCCAGAGACGCGCGATTTTGGTTCATCTTCGAAAGTTTGCCATTTTTTTCCCTTTTGATATTTCTAAAGTCTGTTTTCACTATCTACACATTCAACATTTGAACTTTGTTATAGATATAATACAATTTGCCTGGATTTATTCCTAAACTTACCAGAACCCTTTCAACTGTGATGTATGAGAATGAGACCCCAAAAATTTTTTTTTCCCTCTCAGTGAAGAAATGCAGAAACAAACAAGATAAAGTTACAACACAACTACAATGCAGCTAAGAACACCTCACAACGCAATCTACAGTCCACAAATACTGTGAAGAAATTGTTCCAGTCACCTCACTGTGAATAGTCCTTCTTTGTATGATACTCCTCGAAGATCTGTGTTCTTTGTCGCCTCGACTGCCTTCATAAATCGCCACAGAAAATTACAAAAAAGATTACGCTAAACTGTCAAGAGTAAATAAATACAAAATACAATATGGCTTAGCAATGTCGAACTGAAGTTTGTTCCCTCGATCATCTTGGTTTGTGCAGCCACAACAGTCAAGAAAAGCTATCGGATGTATGCGTCCGATGCAACTTCAAGGGAGCTCAAGGCTATCGGACATATATGTCCGATGTGTCCCGAATGAGTTATAGATGTTTTTTGACTATGGTCACCTTAGATAATAACAAGAATTAGGTGTGAACATTTGCTATCAGAACTTACATTGCAGAAAATTTCTGTCACTCATTCATAAAAACAAATCCCATCACACTGCACACCAAAGGTCATCTTAGGTAATAATTTGCTGTCAGAACCTACATTGCAGAAAATTTCTGTCTCTCATTCATAAAAACAAATCTCATCACACTGCATACCAAAATTTAGGTCAGCTTGTGACCTTCCTCAAACTGAATTGGGCATGAATGTATCAAAACAACATTTGTGCATTCATATCCTATTGCATTTTATGAGCAAAGCCATTTTTTAAAATTTCTAGCATTTTTTATTGACTATGATTGGTACGACTCATTTATGAAAAAAAATCGTCCTTTTGACACAGCATATTAAAATGTAGGTCAACTCGTGTCCTTTCTGGTGGTGTGTAGTGCGCATGAGTACATAGAAACAAAAGGAAGGGAGGCTCTGAGCATATTTATCCTCGGATAATTCGTGGGCAAAGCAAAGCAATTTTGCAAAATTTATAGTCATATTTTACCCTGAATTTGCTTTGAAAATGTTTTGATGACACTTTGAAATTGTTTAGTTTTTTAAAACAGCTTTTTAACGTTACTTTGAGTAGTAACTGTGTTGTCAAGAGTTTTTGAAACAAACAACATGGATAGCTTATCAATCGATATTCATTTTAGGGAAGAACTCAATCTGGACCTAAAAGAAAACTTTAGAGCTATTTTCCCCAAAACTTTGTTTCAGCATCGTATCGAACAATTTTAATCAGATCTCATGAGTTCTGAAGCTATCTTATAAATTTTTTAAGCAAGTTGTTCAGAAAGATTTTTGTACCAGAAAGTGTAATGATATATACAACTCCTCAAAATGCATCATCCGATACTTTTTACGAGGCACACACATCTTTAGTCTGTAAGATTTACACTTCAAATAAATGTTAAAAACAAATTTTTGAATCTTTTAAGTGCTGGCGGGGTCTACTGTTTCTGTTTCTCTTCAGCTTTATGATTGTTCTAACCTGTTGTGAATGTAATGTGGCCTTTGTCAGTGTCACTCATCGAAAATTACATTTCAACACCGAGGTGAAACTCTGAAAGTGAATGAAGTTTTGGAAACATGTACACAGTAGCATGGGTCTTATTCCACCTTCTTTTTTCACTCTATCAGATGATGAACTAGACGAATACTTGGCTCCAAGCAAGAAACCATCAGTAGAGGCAGAACCGGCTCCAAAACTGACATTGCCAGAGGACAATTGGTCTGATGAGTAAGTAATCTTGTTATTGAAGACTGGAGTTTCTTTCCAGGGCCTTTCATGAATTTTGGATTGTTTTCATTACCATGTGAAATTCCAAGTACAGTCGAACCTGCTTTTACAAAAACCTGTCGTTAACGGAATCTCCCCGCTCCCCCCTTGATATATTCCTCTTTAATTAAATGTGTAAAACGGAAACCTGTCCAACGCGGAAACGGAAAGAAAAATTCGCTCCCTTCCGAGGGTTTCAACTGTCTAAGACGAAAAATGCTTTGCCCGCTCAGCCCTGATTTGAAACAAAACTCGCAAGTTTGGTTCCGCCGGCTCTAAACTTAATGCCATGCCGCTGGGCGAGGAAGGGGAGAGGGGTGCAATTTGGGAGGTAGATGTTACCCCATCATGTAAGCCCTGAACATTGCAGATGGTCAGTGTAGTGTGGGTGTGAAATCTCACTACTGCCCGTGAGAGTGCTCGAGTAGAGAGCCCCTATGGAAACTTTCCTGGGTAGCCAGAAGCCAGAGGTGTGAAATTAGATTGACCAATGCCTGCCACCCTGATCATATGGCCAGTGGAGAAAAGAGATCCTCGAATCGTTATTACAATGATGGCAGTGAGGGGTGGCATTGGTGGGTGGGGGCTAAGGGTGAAAGCAAAGGAGATGTTCAAACGTTTCTGTTTTTAATAGGTCAAACAGTGGTCCTATGAAAGGCAAGCACTGGTGGTAATTGGATAAGTAAGACTGATGCATGTCATTATCAGATTTGATAGCAATTGAGAGGTGTGAATTTTTAACTGCTGCTTGCCGATCGGACTAGCGATCCTTGATCCCACGGGCTGGGCCTTTGGACACCCCCCCAATCTTCATCTCCCTCTAAATTCCCCTGTCTAAGATGGAAAATGTCTACGACGCAATTTTTTTCTGGCTCCCTTGCGATTCCGTCTTACACAGGTTCGACTGTAACTTTATTGTTTGATGTTTTGCTGTGGTTTGATACGAAGTCAGTGTTCTATTTGAAAGCTCTTTCTTTCTTTTTTTACATTTTAGTCATTATTAGATAAAAGTCTGTAGGATTTTTTCTTTTTCATCAAGGAGAGAGAAAGGCAATGAAAAAAAAAGATTTTTAGATCGTAATTTTGCAGTGTGCACTATATAGCTACTAGTGTGTATCAATTCACAGTATTGATTATGGCCGTGCATTTCCCACTTTCTATATTCTTTGGAAAAAAAAATTTAACGACGAAGGAGGGATTTCAATTCATACAGCTTTTAAGGAGGCAAATGATTCAGTTTTTTGGGAGAAACCTAGCCAAAAGCCAATGATATTTCATTCGTCTGCACAGCATCTCTCAGTGCTGTTTTGTTCATTAAGGCTTCTTTTCACTTTCCACCCCACCATGTTGACTCATTTTCACACACACACACACACACACGTACACCAACACGCACGCACGTACGCACGCACACACATACATGCACACACAGAGATGGGGAGTTCACCATCCCTGAGCTGCCTTCTGGCCGTGAGCTGGTCATCAACATCAAGACAACCTGGGGTGACCATCACTATGTGGGACTGACTGGGGTGCAGCTCTTTTCCAGCCAGGGGGAACAGGTGCAAGTGACAAAGGTAAGCATTTTGAGAAAGGGATAGAGAGGTTATGTATATCTGTGTCAGGGAGAGAGATAGAGAGAGTGAGAGAGAAGAGGTTGTTTTTTTTTGGGGGGGGGGGAGGTATATACATGATGAAGAGAGTGAGAGAGACGTTTATGTATATCTGTGTCAGGGAGAGAGAGAGAGAGAGAGAGTTTGGGGGGAGGTATATACATGACGAAGAGAGAGTGAGATAGAGAAGTTTATGTATATCTGTGTCAGGGAGAGATGGAGAGAGTTGTATATCTGTGTTGGAGAGAGAGAGAGGTTTATGTATATATTTGACGGAGAGAGAGAGAGGTTTACATATGTCTATGTTGGAGAGAGAGAGAGAGAATGAGGAGTGAATTTTTTTATGTGTGAAATGGAGATAAGAAAGAGATAAAGTACCTTGAGTGTCTTTGTCTGTGTTTATTTTCGTAAAAGTGGTCACGTTTGTCACTGTACTTGAGCCAAGACTTAACTTTCGTTGTGTCAAAGAAATCTTAGCAACGTTAGTGCTTGGCGGGTGTGGTTTGCTCCTTCTTTTCTGTCAAACATCTATTCACCTTGGTCTCTCCTCCTTTTATTGTGTTTATTCTCTCTCTTGCTCTTTTTAACTCCCAGTGGAGCACAGGCCATCAACAGCATTACTCCAGCGAAGCCTGTCCTGAGCATCCTTTTCTCTCTGTTTCCATGATGTCCCCGCTTTTTAAATTTCAGCTTGTACCGCTCGTCTCCATGTCATCTTTGGTCTTCCCTTCTTTCGTTTTCCTTGTGGGTTCCACGTTAAAGCCTGCCTGATGATGCTTGACAGGGGTCTCCTCAGAGTGTGTCCAATCCATTTCCATTTCTTCACCTGTATGTCTTCCTTTATTGGCCTTTGGCTTGTTCTCTCCCACAGTTGAGCATTAGTGACTCGATCGTACCACTTGATCCCCACTATCCTTCGTAGGCATCCATTTACGAAGCTCTGCAGTTTTCTTGCTGCTGATGCTGTGAGCCTCCATGTCTCTGAACCAGACAGTAGAACAGTCTTCACGTTTGTTTTGAAGATCCTCAGCTTGGTGTTCAATCCCAGTTCCTTAGACATCCATATATTCCTGAGAATGATGAATGCTGCTCTTGCCTTTTGGATTTTGACCTTGATGTCTTCGTCTGTTCCCCCTGCCTTGTTGATGACACTTCCCAGGTAGATGAAGGATTCAACATCCGCCAATGGTGCCCCTTGCAGTGTGATAGGAACATCGGCTGCATTCATTCGTAGAACTTTCGTTTTATCCGTGTGAATATGGAGTCCAGCACTACGGAAGAAGGTCCCGAGGCGATCTGTTTTCTGTTGCATCTGGGCTCGACTGTGAGAAAGAAGTGCCAAGTCGTCGGCAAAGTCCAAGTCTTCCAGCTGATTGGAAAGGGTCCACTGTATGCCACTGCGTTGTCCCGATGTTGTCCATCTCATTATCCAATCCACTGCTAATAAAAAGAGAAAATGCGATAGCAGGCATCCCTGCCTCACTCCTGTATTAACTTCAAACGAGTCTGTCCGCTGCCCTCCAAGTAAGACACTGCAACTCATTCCCTCATACATCTTCTTGATCAATCTCACAAACTTGTCAGGTATTCCGTAGTGGCGCATGAGCTTCCATATTGAGTCCCTATCTAGGCTGTCAAAAGCTTTCTCGTAGTCAACAAAGTTAACATACAGGGAAGAGTTCCACTCTGTGGACTGCTCCATTATTATCCTCAAAGTTGCAATCTGATCTGTACATGATCTCTTTTTACGAAATCCTGCCTGCTCCTCTCTTAGTTTTACATCCACGGCTTCCTTCAGTTTTTCCAGTATGGTACGACTTAAAATCTTCCCAGAAATGGACAGGAGCATGATTCCTCTGTAGTTTTTACACTCATGCAGGTCTCCTTTCTTGGGTAGTTTCACGAGCAATCCCTTTCTCCAATCCTGTGGAAATTCTTTGCTGTCCCATATCTTGCCAATAATTCCATGAAGAATCCCTGCCGCAGTGTCGATATCCGCCCTGAGAACTTCTGGGGGAATTCCATCTGGGCCGGCTGCCTTGCCTGCTTTCTGGTGTCCTATGGCCTCCTTGATCTCCTCTAAACTGGGCTTTTCTTCACTCACCCCCAGATCAATCTCTGCTGGTGGAATGTCAAACTGTTTTTCTGGCCTTGGTCTGTTCAGTATCTCTTTGAAATGCTCCTTCCAGCATTCTTTCTGTTCGTCTGGATTTGTGAGAAGCTTCCCCTCTTTATCCTTCTCTGGCACATCTGCATTCTTGTATCTGCCTGCAAGTTTCTTGGTAGTTTCATACAGTCCTCTCCTGCCCCTGCTGCTTCCTCTGCCTCGCGCGCTAGGTCATCTACATAGTTTCTTTTGTCTTTCCTTACGCTGACTTTTACCTCCTTCATTGCTTTGGTGTATTCTTCTTGGGCCTTTGCTTTGGCTGCTCTTGTCTTGCTCCTGTTTACTTGCTCCTTTTTCTTTTTCCTGTCTTCTATCTTCCTCAGAGTGGTGGTCGATATCCAAGGCTTGTGCTCAAGTTTCCGTTTCCCCAATACCTCTAGACACACAGTGGTCCAGCAGCCTTCTTTTATTGCCTCCCATGTTTCTTCCACGCTGCTATCCTCGCCTAATGTTTCCAACACTTGGAACCTGTTCTTAACCGCTACATTAAACTCCTCTCTTGACGATGGCTCTCTCAGAAATTCCATGTTGTACCGGTACCTCTGATTATTGACACTTCCCTGTCTTCGCTTTAGTTTTAGTCGGATTCTTGAAATGAGCAGATGATGGTCCAAAGCTACGTCTGCACCCCTGTAAACTCTGACATCCCTTATTGATCTCCTGAATTTCTTGTTGACACATATGTGGTCAATCTGGTTTTCAGTTTGTTGGTCTGGCGACACCCATGTTGATTTGTGTATCTGTTTATGTGGGAAAACAGTCCCTCCTATCATGAGCCCATTCTTTGCACATATTTCTGCAAAGAGTTCTCCATTCTCGTTTCTGACTCCAAGTCCATGTTTCCCCATGATTTCCTCAAAGCCTACATTGTCACTGCCTACCTTAGCGTTGAAGTCTCCCATTAAAATCAAAATGTCCTTCCTTCTAACCTGATCAATAGTATTTTGTAGCATTTTATAGAAAGTCTCTTTCACATCCTGGTCCTTATCATTGGTGGGGGTATATCCCTGGATAACATGAAGGTTGATGTCTTTCTTCTGTGAACGGAATTCAGCTGATATTAGTCGCGGGCCCTCTGCTTTCCATCCTATCAAAGCCCGCTTGGCATGTGTTGATAACAGAATACCTACTCCTTCTGTATGTATGCTGCGATTTTTCCTCCAGATGTCCAGCGTAGAGAACTGTTTCCCCTGAAGCAAGTTGGCACTCCCCTGCATTCGTCCATCTCGCCTCACAGAGACCCAATATGTCCAGTTGGTAGCCCTCAATCTCTCTTGCAACCTGCAGTGCCTTCCCTGCCTCGTACATTGTACGAACATTCCAGGTGCCAAGTCTGGTGGTTCTTCTGGTCAACAGGAGGTTTCTCGGCTTGGTGGCTTCCTTTCGGCTTTCACCACCCTGCGTCATTCTACACTCCATAGTCTCTCCTCTCCTCGGCGATGAAGGTCCTCCATCTTCCAGAACTGGCAGTCGTGTTGTTTTTGCTGTTGATGTTTTTGTAGCTGCTTTTTGTTTTATGGGAAAGGGCTGCTAACCCTTTGCCCAACCGACCTTAATCGTCTTCTACGACATGCGCGGTACGGATACAGTGGTCCTATTCTTTGCTCCCCTGTCTTTTGGACAGGGCCCCGAGAACCACACGCAAATTGTGTTTATTACTCTCTTGTAACACCTCCAATCTTCAGTACTTATATTACCAAATTGTGTTGCAAGTGTCGTAAAACTTACTAAAACAAAAAAATCTGAGCAGCATGTGCTTGTGGTTGCAAGCTCACTGGGCCCAGGTCAGTAGTTTTTCTTGATAAAAGTTTCAGTTTTTAAAGTTTTGGCCCTTATTGCTGATGGCCCTGATCTGAAAGGTCCTAGGAGGGTCTTCTTCTTAATTTTATCACTCCCTGCTTTTTTCCTCAGATTTGGGCCAACCCTAGTGACATAAACATCCTTCCAGAGTATGCAAAAGACCCACGTGTAGTTGGCAATCTCATTGACAACGTGAATCGAACTCGGGATGATGTGCACATGTGGCTGGCTCCGTTCACTGTTGGAAACAACCACCTCATCTACATGACGTTTGCAAAGCCATGTCAGCTTGCCATGGTCAGGGTGTGGGTGAGCATTTGTTTTTAAAATCCTTTTTTTTTTTCATCATAAGCGGGACAGGGAGGAGTCCCACTGTCTCATCAAACTAGGGCAAAAGTGGTAGGTTGCCCAGCTTAAGCCACATATCATGTACCAGAGAGCAGTGGTATCTTTTCTCTGCTCTGTACTTACTTTGCCTTCTGTCCAGCTTTCCTTCATGCAGGTCTGTTTGCCAAGAGAAAATGCATATACCCAGCTGGGTGAAATCTTGTCAAACATGTGCTGTTACACAAACACTCACACACACACACACACACACACACACACACACACACACACACACACACACACACACACTTATTAGGGAAAGGGGGCACTTGATCACATATATACACATTCTCTCTCACACAGGCATAACACTTCTAAGCACCCACACATTCTCCCTGCTTCCCCAATCTCTCTCTCTCTCTCCTCTCTCTCTCTCTCTCTCTCTCTCTCTCTCTCTCTCTCTCTCTCTCTCTCTCTCTCTCTCTCTCCCTCTCTCTCTCTCTCTCTCTCTCTCTCTCTCACACACACACACACACACACACACACACACACACACACACACAAACACACAAAATCTCTCTCTCTCTCTTCTCCCTCTCTCTTCTCTCTCTCTCTATCACACACACACACACACACACACACACACTCACACAAACACACACATAATCTCTCTCTCTCTCTCTCTCTACCTCTCTCTCTTCTCCCTCTCTCTTCTCTCTCTCTCTCTCTCTCTCTCTCTCTCTCTCTCTCTCTCTCTCTCACACACACACACACACACACGCACACATACACATATGCATGCACACTCACTAGCAAACACCAAGCAGAAAATTAAAAGCTTTGCCTCGATTTCAGAACTACAACAAATCTCGCATCCACTCCTTCCGTGGAGCCAAAGATATCATCATCACCTTAGATGGTACTGAGATTTTCAAGGGGGAGATTGCCAGAGCTTGTGGTGGTATTGAAGGAGGGACAGAGGCATTTGGAGATGTAAGTGCTATTGCAATCTTCTGGTATCATAAAAAGTAATTGTAAACACTCAAAATTGATTCTTTTTGTATTTTTGATTGTCAAAATGTGGTCAGAATGAAAAAAAAAAAGCACTATCACATAAGATTCACATAGACTAGAAAAGCTAATGCTAAAAGCTGGAAGTAGCAGCATTTTTAAAGAACTGTTTCCAATTGTTTGTGAGCTTTTTAATGAGGAAATACCTCTGGTGATTTTTTATAAACTAGCGCCTGTGGTATAATAGTTTGGTTCTTCTCCATTTCATTCAGAAGACGTGATGTGAGGAGGTCTATTTTATGAGTCTATCTTTTACTGCTGAAGTGACTGGATCGATAACAACAACAACAACTGCTGAAGTGTTGTATCTTTCTTTTTGCGGGTTGGTCTTGATAGACAGGGTTGAAGCCCCCAGTCTGCTGTCCCCATCAAGCAATTTGTCATGTTGTGACTTTGGTTGTTTCCAGACGATTTTGTTCACGACTGACGAGACCATCCTGGAAGCTGTGTCAAAGAACGATGATGCCTTCGAGGGAGAAATGTTGAGTGATGGAGAAGAGGATGTGCCTTTTGAGCGACCGAGCACTGCAGATGCTGATGATGATGTGAGTTTGTACACATTTGCCTTTAGCTCGGGACTCCAGACCTGAGCTTTATATATGAAATTCTGGGAGGCACCGAGCAAGTCTCTTCTTCCTTTAGTTTACAGCTGGACCTGTCCTAGATGACTACCCTTTGTTGAGAAAGATGGTCAACTTTGCCAGGTGGTCCTCTTGGACGGTGTTATTAAATTCTGGAGAAAAATACAAGGGGATAAGTGGCGAGTGATTGTCATGGACAGGTGGTCTCTAACTCTTTGAGCCCTTGCCACTGGCACACTGGTGGTCCATAAAACTACCCATATGCCCAGACACCAGTACAGTGGTGAGCGAAACCCTGTCCCCAACCCCGCCCACCTGATACAAAATGCATACAGAAAACATTTACTACACAAGACGATATTGATTATTTATGAAGATCTTTCTAAATTAGATGCTGGTAGTGAAAAGGACTACCCTGAGTGGTATATAGAATGTTATTCCGACGGTCATATTATTAATGTTGATAATATATCGCTCAGGGCTCAAAGGGTTAAAAATAGAGTTATGTAATTGTTCAAATGATTTTGTTTTATGGTATACTGAGTATTTATATCTTAGTCAGCTGGAAAAACAGGTCATGAATGCAGGTTTCATTTTCTGAAAACAATTATGCTTCATTATTAGATATTTACCTTGAAAAGAAATATTAACTTTTTATAAATAGTTCAAGGGTTTGGAATTCTAGAGTAAGTGTTTGCTACGTAAACAGTTTTAGCTACATCAGGTTAGTAATAATGAGACAAACTGCTACTTTTAACCTCATCTGGTGCTGCATAATCGCCTTTTTCATGATGTGAACTTGGGATATAACTAGCCTCCTGTCAAAAACGTCTTTTTTTCTGTATTTTATTAGCCCCTTAGTTAAAGAATAAGAAGAAAAGCCTCAATAAATTTTGTAGGTATAGTTATTTTATTATTTTTTTGTTTTCAAAGTTTTTATTTTTGCCTATTGTATCATTGGAGGAGCAACATGAACATAGTCCATGAACAGCTGGGCAAAAACGGACAACCACTATATTTATCCTTGTTCGGTCATGTTTCTGATGTAGACAGATTGTCGTCTTCCATGTAGTAAATGGCAGGCTTTGATTACTCCTCAGGATCAGGAAGATAAGAAGGTGCTTGTTGTGAGTTGTCGGACAGCTGTGTTGACCTGAGTTGTTTTTATTTGCTATAAATTCGAAGTGATAAGGCACATCAGTTTGTGAAAGACACCCCCTGCTCCTAAAAAAAGAAACCAACCTGAAAGGCATGTCTTAGCTACAGGGTTCCCACTGAAATTGGAAAACAGGGAAAGGCCGAGAATTTCATTTTCAGATTTCTTGGTTGAAAAAACACCGTGGCAGCGGGTAAAAGCAAAAATAACGTGAGAAAGCCATCGGCAGCTTTCTGGCTTACAGAAGGAAAAATTGATAAGACCTCAACAGTCTACATCACTATGTCACGTACAGCTGTCTAACTTTTAACACTATCTGTACACAGAGCTCTTTTAGTTGCTAAATGTCTCTTTTCCTTACGAAAAACATTACTTGTGCCAAAGCCAGGAATAAGACCAACATTAGGTTGACAAAATGTTCAAGAATTTCTGTTCGTTTGAGACGTTGCTGACGGCTGTAGGCCAATAAGAAAATAAAAAAAGATAAATTGGATAAAATTTGAAACTTGAAACAAACAGCTGCGGCTCACAGCATGGTGTGCAAATGATGCACAGTCAGGGTCAAAGTCTTTTGACATGTCCTGTCAGTTTTTCTTGTTTTTGCTAGAGTCACGCTGGCAGTCTGACAGTCAATAGATTGCCTCCTCCCCCCTCCCCCCTTTTTTTAAAAGACTTGACAGTGAAGAGCTTTCAGAGACCTTTTTCATCATGCCCTTGTTTACGTTACATTTTTCCTTCTACCCCTATCCTTGACCCCAAGAAAAAGTAACTATCCAAGGCTGTATTAAGGTTTTCATCTCGCCTTTGTCTGTCATCTATTCAAAAAATTTCCCTTGAAAATGGTTTTAAAATCATGGAGAAAACCTGGAAAAAAGACAGGAAATGTCTCCTTGATGGGTGGGAATCTTGTAACTATAAGGAGGACCTCATCCTAGTGTTTGAAAATATAGGAGTGCCTTATCATCTTGAAATTACAGTCTTTCTGTTGTTATTTGATCCTGCTTTATCTGTTATCTTTATCAACTTTTGTAATTCAAGTGATGCAGAAAAAGAGTATCATATTTGGACTGTATGACCATTTGAAAGGATACTGAAAATATACTCGTATTGTCAAGAGACTTCAGTTTTAAAGCCGTCGTAAAGAAATGACATCAACATGATATTTAATCTTTGTGGGTACACCAATTGTTGTGAGGACGTGTTGTTTCATGTACTTGGATGTCAATGAAAAGCTTTTATCTACCAGATTAGAGTATGCTTATGCGTGTTGGTGATAGTGCACATGACTCGTTATCTGCATCTCGATGAGCGACAAAATGCTGAGCAAAAACAAAAATCATCCGTGGTGTGAAAGATGCAAATGTACAGTTGTTTCCAAATCATGAAAATATGAAACATTTCCCTTGCTGGTCTTTCATAGTATAGTGGACAAAACAGATGTTACAATCAACAAAATTGTGTATATGCCTGAGAGAGATGATGAACAAGTAGCTTGAAAAAAAGTTAAGAGTGAATCTTACTTTTTGCATAGTTTGATTCATTACTAGGCTCAAATGGGTACTCTTGAAGGCAGGCAAAAATTATTATCAGCAGATCTCAAGATTAGTGGATATTGTATAACATTTGAGTGACTGGAATGGATCCATATGTTTTTCACATGTTCCCTGAAATCTCGGGCTACAACTGAGTTATAATGATGCATGGACACACACACATACACACACACACACACACACACACACACACACACACACACACACACACACACACACAGACACACACAGAGACAGGTGTTGGTATGTGCTACAGGTCATCCAGTATAAAGGAAATATACTGGAAAGATAATAAGTAGGATGAGATCTTGCATCAGGTTTAGCTGAGCCTTTCATGTATCAAAGAATTTTTTTTAAAAGATGACTTTTGGCTCACCAGTAGCTCTGCTGATTAGTTAGAAGTCAGTTGGGTTGATAGAGGAAAAGAAATGGAAATTTTACATTTCAAGGATATGCATAATAGTGTTTTGAAAGGAAAAAGGTTGAGCGTTCAAACATGTAAATATAATCAGAATGTTGAAATAGGAAGTCTCAGTAGAAGGTTACTGGACTGTTGTTAGTAAAGCTTATAAATACTACATGTGGCTTTATACATATTAGGCCTGACAGCTTGTCCGTGTGGACCAATGTCATATACTACAATAACATCTTTAATTCGATTTGATTTTTTAATATATTTCTAGAATTTCTTTGATTTTTGTTAGGAAATATTTTTTCATTTCTGCCATTTTTGTTTTTCTTAGATTTACTAATTCAGGGCTTTAGAGGTGATGACTGCACCATTTCAATCTATTCACCTCTGTTTTGTTTTTGTGAGATTATCTTTGAAGGTCATTACGCTGCCGCAGACCCTTTGTGAGAGTGATAGATGGATACTCTGGTGTGTTCTGCTACTTTTACTTTTTTTTCTGTGGCTACTTGTTTCTTAATCAGAGAGCTTTGTTTGAGGGCACCACTGGTAGGACCTTCTTCTTTACTTCCCTTCTGTTATTTCTGTCTGTCTGTCTTCCTTTTTTTTCCCAGCACAAAATAACCGTTATTGCATTGATGTTCTTCTCTTTACTCAAACAAACAAACGAATCAGAAGTGCCTTGTAAAATGTAGCTGTTATCATGTGGTAAAATTCGACTCAGCATCTGCACTCAGTGACCCTTTTGAGATGATTGTCTGAGTTTTGGCTATGTAGTTGTTCTCTAGCATTTATGTCTTTTAAAAACAAAGGGAAAAAACATATCAATGGTGCATGAGTAACTCATCAAATATTTTTTTTGTGGAATTTTTTTCTAAATTTTTTTTGGTGCAAAAAGACATTTGAAGAATATAGTAAGATATTGAATACAGCCTTTAAATAAGAAACTAAAATGTTTTCTTGGGTTGCATACATATATGTGTATAGAATGGACATTATACCCCCCCCCAAAGATAATGAAATAAAATAAAAAGTACAAATAAAATAAAAAGTACAAAAGTGGTGTAATATTGGAAATATGAGGTCAAATGAGCAAGTGAGAAATGTGTGGCTCAGCCTTAAAAGTGTTTGTTTCATAATGTGAACTTTATCATCACTCTCAGTTCAGAGAGAGAGAGAGAATACATTTATTTGTTGTTTTTTTTATATAGATGTGCCTGTGGGTTTTTTTGTCTGCATTCATGCTTGTTTGTGTGTTTGTTTAATAGGCTCTATGTTTGTGTGTGTATGTTCAATGGGGCTCTATGTTTTTGTGTGTTAAGATTTATATTCATTTAAACAGATCTATAGTGTGCAATGCATTGCATTTTTTGTGCATTTTCCTAGTTTTTGCCATTTTACAGATGTGTGCCTATGAGTGGCCTTTGTATTTACATATAACTGGATGTGAGTGCGATTCATGATGTCATACAGAATCTTTATTATTGTATAGTAAATGGTGGATGGTTTTCACCATCACTATAGTACCAGTTTCAAGGACTTGACAGTGAAAAGTGGCTATTTGAATCTGATTAAGGTAGACATATGTTTTTCATTGGTCCTGGATTATTTCATCTCATCCTACAGCTTTGGTGAAGCATCAGCTACTGCTCAGGCTTCTATTTGACTATTGTGGAGTTAGGCTGAAAATATATTGCCACGCACAATTGAAGTGTGATGCGAAAAAGGTCGTGCCCTCCTCTTTATTTCCTATCGGTGATTTCACTGACACGACTAGACGTGAGGAGTCTTGAGGATTTAAAAAGATTGCGTGCGTGCAGCACTTCTTCTTCGCGTGCGAACAGGCCTGCCCTGCTATCGCAGTGTTCCGCGACGCCGTGGAGATAAAACAAAAGGAGGGCCGACCACTGAGCTGTTTTAGCCTGCTCAGTGCCATTTTTTAAACACAGTCAGACGGAGTCGCGCGGAGCTATGGGATCACCACTTCCATACTAGGTGCTTGTACATTTCGCGGCGCACTTCAGTTGTGCTTGGCAGTATATTTTCAGCCTTACTCTTCCTCCAACACAGTGTGGAAAAAAAAAAGAGGAAGAGGAGGAAGCTTTCCCCACTGACCACAGTACTGTGTTAATTATGCTCTTGGAGTGTTTCTTTCTTGATTCCATGCAGTGATATAATGTATCTTTTAGTACTTTAATCTGACCTCATTGCAATGGAGAGTTGTTGTGTGTAAGGCATTAGTCAATAATTGTTTCGTTCAAATGTGAAGTAGAGATTGAAATAAAACAGCTGTCATTATAAAGGCTTGACCCACCCACCACTGCAGTCCTGGAAAGGAATGGGTTATGGGACAAGGAGGAGCCTTCAAGAGAAACAAGAGGAATGTAACTGCAGAGCCTCAGAAACCTGGAAGATTACGGACTTCTTTGGTGCATTATGTCTTTAAGTTAGGCTTATATTGATCGGTAGTCAGGAAAGTTGAGTCAAGGTATAGCATGTGTAGTTCAGCCAATCGCTCATTTGTAATTAATTTGAGAAGGGGGAATGTGCTGGTTGTATGGGAATACTTCTCCCTTTTTTTGGCGAAGAGAAATTTCGCTATTAATATGCATGTGCTCTCAGGCTTTATTATATAGCTCCCACTTGTGCTTCCACCATGTCAATTAACACAAGCTTCTTGTCCGCTTGTGATTTTTCTGTGTGCCTTTTTTATGATTATAAGGCCGATGACAGCTTAATAACATACGGTATAAATTGGCATTTCTGTGCTCGGAGAGGGGGAAAGGAGTCTGTGTCCCTCACTCAAGGATGGGAAGGATTTAACATTGGCAATGACCAGCAAAAATTATGAGAACATTGACCAGGCACTAGCAATAAATTTTTTTAATCATTTTGTTGCAATTTTGAGTAAGTTTAACATATCTGATGAACTTATAGCCCCCCCCCCAAAAGCTAAAAAAATAAATAAATAGATAAATTAGACTACAAAATGTGCTTATTTCTTTTATCTTCAGTGTTTACATCTTTTGGTTACAATGGTTGCTTACTTTCAACATTTTTATTTTATGATCATGAAGTTATTTTTTACTTCCATCAGACTCGGCCTTTCACGCGAGCTGCTGGTCTCCTCGCTGCTGCAGAAAAGGGCAAGGAGAAACAGCCTCTGTCTGCCAGGCCTGGCACCAGTATGGTGACCAGTGTGGGGGATGTGGTTGTCTACAAGGCCAACAGTGAGTACACCGCTTTGCTGGTAGTTTTTCTGCTTGTGTGTGTTTTCGCACAGGTTTACGTGATTACATGCATGCTTGTGTGTGCTTTTGTCTCAATCTTTTGCTCGTTTATATGAGTACTGTTTATATAACTTGTTTGATAATCTGAAAAGTGTATAGCAGGCTGTCTGCCAGGCCTTGTGTCAGTATGTTTCATTGTTTGTGTGTGTGTGTGTGTGTATTTTTGTGTGTGTGTAGGGGGGAGAGTGTGGACAGTTAAGTTTATGTGATAGTCTGTAAGGCTTTAAGTAGTGTACATTTATGGGTTGATGTGTTTGTGTTGAATTAAGTAAAATGCGTGTATGAAAAGGGAAACTTTATATTATAGATTATGGAAAAGGACGTTCTGTTTGGTTTTACCACCCAGAAAATGTTTATTTACTTAATTTTATAAGTGCATGCACTTTGTCAGTTTTTACTACTGGCTGATTCAACAATAAACTTGACAATATGAGAGTTGTGAAAAGAGTTAAGTGAACAGATAGAGTTCAGCTCCAGAAGATGTGCAGTAAACTGACAAGAATATAGAAACATGATTCTGTCTTTATTGAGGGTATACACGGAAAACACATCTTAAAAAAATGGTTGCTACTACATCCAATTTATTTTGTTTATCGCTCTGATGCTTTTGCACCCTGTGCACCCTTCTGTATGTTCTGGGAAATACTCAATTGTTCAGACTTACCTCTATGGGTGGTTGATGGGTACTCTGGTATGGTTTGCTCCTTTCCTTTTAAACACCTATCATCTTTATCTCTCCTCCTATTTTTATTTTTTTATTTTTGGGGGGGGGGGGGGGGCATTTAAAGAATTAATATACGACAGAGAAACCAAAATATTCCTGAAATGGTTTGTAATATACCTGGCAAATATTCATGATCCCTGTCTCTGCTTCTTCTCTCTGTATGTTACTTTTTTGTAATACCTCTAATCTTTTTCACTTTTATGACCTTATTGTGTTGCAAGTGCTGTAAAACTTTTTCTAAAACAAGACTCACCTCTTCCTTTTTCCTTCCCACAGAGATTGAGCTGTCGTTCTCCGCCACATGGGGCGACCACCACTACTTGGGCCTCACCGGACTTGAGCCTGTTGGCACTGAAGGGGAGGCAATTCCTCTCACCATGAAGATGATCACTGCTTCACCCAGCGACCTGCGCCACTTGGCCGGCAATGAGAAAGATGAGAGAACTCTAGACAAGTATGTGACTGTAGCGCTAAGTTAAACACTCTCAGTTTTTTGCATTTTTTTACCAATCAAGTTTTTTGCATAGGCTGTGAATAAAGGTTTTTTTTAACTTGATGTTGAAAAAATAAACATCAAGTGCGAAAATATTTGCCTGTGACTGGTATAATTGTTCTAAGTACACCATTTGACCTACCATGTTCTATGTGCTCGTTCTCATTATTTTCTCACACATTAAAGTGTTATGGCTGCCCAGTCAAGTCTTTATTTTTTTCTTAATCCTGCAGATGTACAGTCAGTCTTAGTGTGATTCAGTGTCTTCATTTTTTAAAATGTCATCTTGAAAGTTATTCAATCAAATAAAATATATGACATCCATGTGCAGAGATGAATTTGTGCCTCTTTCAGAAGATACACTTAACATAAGATTCTTGTGCCCATAGAGCTGCAAGAAGTTTTGGCTAAGACATGGAAACTTTGTCATATATCAATAGTTTTGGTTCAAAATGTCCTGCTCTAAAAAAGTTTATTGTAAAGTAGACCCAAAATAAATACTGTCTTGTTTTTTTCTTATTGCATCTATCATATAATACAATTTTAGAGGGTTTTTTCTAGATTTCTTGAGCATCTGGGGTGAATCTCTACAACTACACATGATGTAAGATCCTACGGCGGAATTTGTTAAGATAATTTTCCATCCCTCTTTTCTCTAATTTGCACCTAGGGTCATTGTTATATGTATTCCTCCAAAAAAGGACACTGTCTCATAACTTCATTTGTTTTCTTTTTTCTTGACTTGATTGAAAAGTGAAAGTATTCTTTTATCCTGGAAATAAGCCTTCTCTCTCTTCTCTTACAAACCCCTACCCCCCCTTCCAGGTTGATTGATGGCTCCAACGTAACTTGCCATGACTCTCACATGTGGCTCATTCCTTTTGCCGAGGGGGAGAGCCACACCGTGACCCTGACCTTCCCGCAGCAGATGCTGGTCTCAGGCGTGAGAGTGTGGAACTACAACAAAAGTCCAGAGGATACATACAGAGGGGTATGTTCCATGGGTGGTTGTTTCTCCTGCTAGTCTGGTCTCTCAGGTCATAGTTTGGCTGGATTGGTGGGCAAGTCAGATTGGCAACTGTTCAATAATTATTATTATCATCACACTCATAAGATAAATGGCTAATTTATTTTTAGCTATTTTGAGAAAATGAGAAATACCTCTTTCTTTCGAACAATTGACTCTGTGAAAGCTTGAATTTTGGTATACTAAACTGATTTTTTATTTGGATTATTCTTTTGTCCAAGTGAACTATCTTACCAAGCTAATTCTGCTCTTCTTTTTAGAACCAAAAACTCCAAACCGGCCAAAAATGACTTGAGCAATTATCTTATGAACGTGACGTTATTATAGTATTTCCACAAAAATGAACTTTCACATCTCATTTAGTGGTTGTTATTGTTAATCCATGTGCATTTAGTCTTTTGTCGGGGGAACCTTAAATGCTTCTGACGTAGAATATTCATCAGCGTGTCTCCTGCTATAGATGATTTGTTGTCTTTTTTGCTCTCATCCTAATATTACTACCAAGTGGGATTTTTTTTTTGGTAAGCGTTTTATAGCACTCGCAACTGCATAAGGTCACATGAGCACGTGGGACACACCTAATATTTTCAGTTGGTAGGAAATTTTGAATTTTGCCCAAGTGGCGGCTGAAGCCTACTCTTATCGATTCTAGACCACCAAAGGATCTTTAACGTGTGAAACTTGGACAGGGGCCCTCCGAGATTTTTCGCCCTTGTCCGAGAAGGCTAG